TCACCTCCCCGGGCATTGACCCAGACGTGTTTTTTTACTGTGCCATCACTACCCCGTCGCCCCCTTCCACCACCTCCTACACCACCCCCTACTCCAGTCTCCCCACCCCCGGCTACGACATCGCACCCCCCCAGCCCTTCAACCCATTATCCTGAGTCATACGAGCACTGAAAAGAGGTGGTCACAACACATCAAAACAGAGCTCTTCTTCACCGCAAGCACGACGCCACTTCACAAAACAGCAAAATAAAAGATACAAATTGACCTTCTAAATTGTGATTCATCATAAAAGATAATCAAGGAAGTAATTCATAATAGCAGGTAAGGTAAATATTGTCATTGTAGATTGAAAAAGCAAGAATGTGTTCATGACATTGACTGTATTTATGAAATTTGTAGCGCCACTTTCCTGTGTGCCCAGACTCTTATGGACACCCTGTAGAACACACAATAAAATGACTTTTAAAAATGAAAATAAAACCAAATAAAGAAAAATGTCTCGCGGCCATAAAAGTCCCCATCAATAATGCGGTTGTACAAGTTCAGCGCAAAGAATGAAATTCAATCCAACGGTGCTTCAAGTAATATTTAGGTCTATCCACCCTTGAATCAACTTCAACACAAGTGGTGTCTCGGTCTGAACACTAGGTGGCACTCACGTCATGGTGTTCATGGCAGACAGAAAAAGAAGTAAAACAGACATGAAGAAGAACTCTGGCGTTTGATTGAATACTGAAGCATATTGTATTCTGACTGTGGAGCTGTCAATAAAATGACCAAAGAAAGAAATCCATGCCTGGTTGCTGAGAAATTACACAGAACAAACACAAATGTCCAGTACAGCATTGCTCCCCAAACTTTTTTGTGACACCGATCAGTGGAGATAAGTATGCTCTTCGCGGAGCGGCCGCTATTTTTGTCATTGCTATTAAATTCTCAGTTTTAAAGCACCGGTCGTGAGCTAAAAACTAATTTCGTCTGGCTGTTGCCAGGTAATTAATCGTGGCTTCACCGTTACTCGGAGCCAAGACGTCACTCACATTAACTTGAAGCAGTTTCAGCAGTCCGCGAGTGAACTTGATACTGTGATTGTCACCTGTGCTCAGCATGCATTTGGCCTCATTTCAGCTTGTGCAATCTGTGACAATAATCACATTGCAACAGGTCGATGTACAGTGTAACAAAAGAGTGGGCTTTTACCGCGTTGCCTGTTCTGTCTCTTCGTCATGTCCCCAGTGTAATGTTTTCAGACGCTTTTCATATCGATTCAGTTTGTTTGCAGTCGGGCTAACTGAATATCTGTGTGTTTGCTGATTGTAAAAAGCGCAGTGAAGCGAGAGGCGACGCAGCTAGCATTCTGCATCCACCAGCCTTCCGTGCGATTGCGTCAGCCACACTGAAGGAGGCAGACGAGAGCACACAGGGTCACATTAGTGTACAGTACTTCTTCTTCTTCGCAGACACCAAGCTAGCTAGCCAAGGCAGCTTGTTAGATCTTTGGCCGCACATGACTTGATATTGACTGTAACAAAGTTACTCCAGCTTGTGTCTGTGGAAACAGCCTTCTAGCAATGAAAAAGATTTAAAACATTTATGGCAATACAATTGACAAAAGAAAACTTTCTTTAGTAGTGATAATCTCTTTTGAGATAGGAGGGACTTTTCTAGGAAAATAGATTCTTTTCCGAGGGAAAGGCGCATTACCATAAAAGGTTTCAAATTTGACATATGACCTATGAGCTCAGATCATGAAACATTCATTTATTCATTCATTCATTTTCTGATCCGCTTTATCATCACAAGCGTCCAGGGGGTGCTGGAGCCTATCCCAGCCATCTTCGGGCAGTTGGCGGGGGACACCCTGAACCAGTTGCCAGCCAATCGCAGGGCACACAGAGACGAACAACCATCCACGCTCACACTCACACCTTGGGACAATTTTGAGTGTTCAATCAGCCTGCCATGCATGTTTTTAGAATGTGGGAGGAAACTGGAGTACCCGGAGAAAACCCACACAGGCCCGGGGAGAACATGCAAATTGAACCCGGTACCTCTGCACTGTGAGGTCGACGCGCTAACCACTGGACCACCGGGCCGCTCTATGAAGGTATAATTAGGTAAAATTGAAAATTTGGGGGACACAAGTTCACATTTTAGCAATGAGTAGCCTTTAAAAATAAGCAAGCGGTTCTGTCAAGTGCTGCGGATGTCCCTTACGGTGAAATATTGTTGTGATTGTGGAGGCAAATTGTCACGATTGTTCTGTTTTTGTTCTGCTTCCCATAGAGCCTCACACTTGTTGGTCATCATGTCATTCGTTCTTTTCTTTTGAAAGGAGTGCCTTGGCGCCCATTCGGGGTCGGATTGTTGTGTTCCTTTTGTGTTGTTTTGTTTCTATCACAGTTTTTGTTAGTTGTTACTTTAGTTTCTTGTGGTTTTCAGGACTTTGTTTTTTTATTTGATTTTTTTTATTGTACTCCTGGAAGTATTTTTTGGGGTTTAATATAGTTTGGCTCCAAAATGTGCCCTTATTGCCATGAACTTCAGCACATATCCATGGTTGTGTATGTTGTCAATCATCTTTTTTTAAAATCTATTTTATTGTATTTAAGTGGAATGTGGGGGCTTCCCTGCGCGACCTTGAACCGTACCAAAATAGCTTCCCTCTCAGTTACAAAAAGGCTGCCGCTGATCTTCAGATTGTGACTATTTTTTTTTTAATTTCCCTTCCACTCGTGTATAGTACACAGCCTCGATTTTATTTATACATTTATTTCTGAGCCGGGGGTGCGGGGGGGATATGTATTCTCCATGAGAAATTACAATGGAACTTGTATTATGAGGTTTGTATAGAAAATAATCCCGATGAATGGCAAATTTATGAATGTAAATTGGTTCAGGGATTCTGACAAGTTGGGTGACAATATGTCGCCCGTGCGTGGTATGATCTAGACCACAGGTGTCGAAGTCCGGCCCTCGAGGACCGGACTTTGACACCTGTGATCTAGACTTTACTTGCGTGCACAGAGACAGAGGCAAAACATTCAGATGCCATGTCAACTAGCTCTCAAGATGCTGGAAGATTGCGCCCCACCTTGGTCCTATCTATCACACTGACGAAGAGTTACTGCGCATGTTGAACAAGCTTCAATGGGTAAAAAAATAAATCACAAAGAACAAACGACTGAGCCTTCTGAAATAACTCATCACTCGGAAAGATCCTTTCTCATGAATATTTTAAAATCATGTTTTTGTCTTGTAAGTTCAAGTGTGAAATAAACTTGGCCTTCCATATTGTGAGTAATACTAAAAGTATTTTAAGCATACTTTTGCTCATTTTTTGATGCAACCCACCCAAGATTCATAATTATGAATGGAAATATAAAAATAGCAACGCGCTTCACAAAAAAAAAAATAAAATAAAACGCTTTTGTTTGGCAATCTCCGACAAGTACGTCATTTACAGAATGCCGAATCACCAGTCAGTCATTGTAATCCATTGTTGATTGTCCTCTTAAGTAAGTACTCTTTGCCATTTTTATCGAGTGATTTGGAAAAATGCCTTGGTGCTGGGTGGTGATGCACTCTTCACATTCAGGCTATTCGAGTGGCCAAAAGAAAAGTTAGGTTATGTAAATGGACCAGAAAATTGGCTCTCGTTGATGGAAACATTCGAATCAAAGTACGAAACGTGTACATCTTGAGATGACGTCATACTTTGGGGTTTGTCGCTCGTCAGTATCTCACTTCAGGAAAATTATTTCTTTCTCAAATTTCACCCATCCATTTTCCGATCCGCTTATCCTCACAAGGGTCGCGGGGGGTGCTGGAGCCTATCCCAGCTGTCTTCGGGCAGAAGGCGGGGGTTACCCTGAACCGGTTGCCAGCCAATCGCAGGCCGCACAGAGACGAACAACCATCCACGCTCACACTCACACCTTCGGACAATTTCGAGTGTTCAATCAGCCTGCCATGTATGTTTTTGGAATGTGGGAGGAAACCGGAGTAACTGGAGAAAACCCACGCATGCCCGGGGAGAACATGCAAACTCCACACAGGGAGACCGGAGCTGGAATTGAACCTGGTACCTCTGCACTGTGAGGTCGACGCACTAACCACTGGCTCACCGGGCCAATTTTTTTTTCATGTTTTAATTTATTTTGTTTAATTACTTCTGACACAAAAATATTGAGTTTGGGATTTTCTAAAATTACTTCAATACTTTTGACCTTTGAGGAAAGTAATGCAGTGTTTTGCATCATTGATGTGCATTTATGTGTTGATGTCGGATTATCTGTGTGAGTTAAAAAAAAAAAGTGTCATCAAGGATTCCATCGATATTAAAGTTTCCACACCTGGGCAAAGGCAACATGAAAGGAAAACATGACGATAAGGAAGTACCGCCACTGCTGGAGGATGATTGACAAGGAGGGTAAGTTTATGTGAAAAGGTTTTTCCTGCAGCTGGATGCCACATCACTCACGTAGGCAAGGTGAACCCAACGTCTTTCAAAAGGTGAAGGGGGGGCGGACCAGCAATGTCATTCTTCAAGTTTTTCTCAAAGGCAAAACTTGCAAGTTGAAGACAATGGGAAATGTCACTGCTTGTTTGCATGCTGAACCACAACGTCCTCTCGATCTGTCTGGACTACACGTCGCAGAAGGATTTCTGGGCGTGGCCAGGGGAAAAGTGCATCAGGTGAAGGAGGTGTCGTGCCTTTGTGTGTGGGCGTGTCATTTTTCTATATATACTTTTAGGTGGTTGAGTTTGGGCTAAGCCATCTTTGCACTTGGAAGTGATGGACAAGCTCACGTTAACGAACGCAATGCTTCTACTGCTGCTGGTCACAGGTCAGATATTTACTCTTTTTTTTTTTGTAAGAAAACGATATTTCCAGCGGCCCGGTAGCCGAGCATTGAGCGCGTCGACCTCACAGTCGAGAGGTGCAGGGTTCGATTCCGGCTTGGGCTTACCTGGGTGGAGTTTGCATATTCTCCCCGGGCCTGCGTGGGTTTTCTCCGGGTCCTCCGGTTTCCTCCCACATTCCAAAAACATCCATGGCAAGCTGATTGAACACTCCAAACTGTCCGTAGGTGTCAGTGTGAACGCGGAGGGTTGTTCGTCCATGGATTCGACTTTGTAGAATTGTGCGGTTAAGGATAGTCCAGAAATTGCTCCACAATCGTCATCCTTTCCTTTTGGATGACTTCTGAATAACCGAACTTGGAACATTCATCTATAGAAATGGTGGTGTGGTGCCTTCCCGTGTGGATTTGGCATGTTTGCCAGAGTAACCGGAGAAAACCCACACAAGGGCGAGTTTGCCAGAGAATCTTCAAAATCATCAAATCATCAAAATTTGGTGCCATCCAAACAAATCTGCTTCAGCTAACTAAGGAATTTGGCCAAAATCGGCCTCTTCTCACCCAAATACCCGACTTCCTGTTTAAATTCACAGATGGGTCCTGAAGGCTTTTTCCATGTGTCCGGCCGGTCATGGTAAACCTGTCCACAAAAAATCTCATATTGAGCCGTCAAATTGATGTAATGAAGGAATTCTGCCAAAATAGGCCATTTCGGGGATGGGTCCTGAAGACTTCTTTTTGGGGTGTTTCCTGTCATGATAGAGTAGTATCAGGGTCAGATTTTTTTTTATGGCTAAAATGGCAGACATGGGCTCTTGTCACCTTTTTGTGCGTCCTCCCATGATGGACAAGTCCCCCCATTTATCGTATGGATCAGCCTAAAGTCGTTTCAGGAGTTGAATTCACCCAGAGATGCTAACGAAGGAACTTGGTGAATTTGGTTGCTTCTAACCAAAAATGGCCAACTTCCTGTTCAAATTCAGACTGTCATGATAGGCATGCCTAGCCAATTTGGTGTGGATCGGTCAAACTGAAATCAGGCTGGGTTTTTTTTTCCTTAACTTTTGGGGCTGAGAAAATAAAGCCAAAAATTATCTTTCAACCAAAACGACTCTTTGTACACCGTATCAACATAGACATACCCTATATAGAAGGATTTGACTATAGTGGACCTTGATAGCTCCCGCTCTAAAATTCCCATTCTAGTGATATGGGAGTTTTCAAAAAGTTATTTCATTATTAGAGTCAAGAATGAGTGAAATTATCCACTGCATTTGGAATCATTCACTCATTCCTGACTCTTTAATTATTATCACAGGATTTTTTTTACAGAGAAGACCATATATGGTCATTAACAACAAGGTTAGAATGATCAATTACTCCCTAATCACGCGATGGGGATTTTTTTTTTCTTTTTCTCAGAGCTTCCTGTCTCTTTACAAGTTGTGCAACCTTGCCAATGCCCAAGGGGCCCACACGACAAACATTTATTGTCACTGTCAAGTTTCTGAAAAACGGCACCATCAAAACCAGTCAGACAACAACCGGGAAACTAAAATGATAAAACAAGAGCTCAACTTGACGAACCGCAGTTTGCACATTTTTGTTTCTCCTTCCGCTTACCTTAAATATATTTAATTTTCATCTTCTGTCTTCTTGATTCTTAACATAGCTTTCATTTGAGTGTTTCATGTACAATAATCAACAATGTGCAATCTGTTCCAAACTAAAACGAAATCTGAAGTTCTAAAATGTAAATATTTGTCTGATACAAAAAAAAAAAAAATAGGCTGACAGATTGTTTTCCGTAACGGTTGTGTAGCACTGTTGAAGGGACAAGTGATTGATGACTGAATAATTAGCATGTACAGCTTACGAATTGTCAACATGCTGGAATGACAACTGGAATTTTTCTTTTTGTCTTTTTCATGTTCAGAATGTGCAGCGCAACCAGATGGTGAGTTGCAGCCTTCCTTCCTTCCTTGCCTTCATGTGCTGAATCATTTTATGCCATTTGCTTTAGCATAATTTTACAGCGTAGCAGCGCACGCAGAGTTTTTCCTGCGTTTAATAACTACGCGACGGCCGCCTCCAGCTAATTTTGATTGATATCGCTCAACGCAGTGTAAAACTCCAGCTGCCTCCGGCAGTGGTTAAAATAATTTACCTGGCTCAGGTATACTGTTACTTATGCCAAAAGCATTGTGCCCAAACACAGCAGGTAATGGCTGCCTCCCTTGTGAGACAGCCATCAACCAACTACAGGAAGGACACATCGACAAGATATGAGGTGACGGCTATTCATAAAGCAGCAGACGAGTAGGAGAAGTATTTAAAAGTTAGTAGCACCTAAAAAAACACTCAGACGAAACTGATCAGTGACATGTGGTGAGGTTCAGGGCAGGTGAGGCACTGACTTCGTCACAGTCATATTGAAGTTGTTCCTGAGATGCAAGGGTTCAAAAGAAGGTGGCCATGCCCCTTTTTAAAATTAAAATTTCATGGGCTGTAGCTCCCAAATCACTGCTTTCATTGAACTGAAATTTGAAATTTACTGCCGTGCCGTCACTATCAAGTTTGGCAAGTTTAATTAAAATCAAATCAGCTTGGTTACGCTTTTCTAACCGTTTTTTTTTTTTTTTTTTTTTTTTAAGTGACTTGGCATAAAATGACCCTAAACTAGTGGTTGTCAAATTTTGACACGAAGCAGCAGCTAAAAAATACTTGGCCTTCCAAGTAGCATAACGTGACCAACATTAAAAACACTGGACCGTAGTGGGCTCAAGTGTTCAGTAATAACAAGAAGGTGGCTTTAATCCACAACAGTATATTTCATATTAATGTAAGACACTACAGAATCATTTGAAATTGTCTGCACATTACAAAAATTGGATGAAAATTAATGTATTGCACATAGAAAATCACTGGGGTGATCCATTTTGTGAATACTTTTGGTTCATTTCATCTCCAAACGAGCTGGCTCCAAGTCTGTTCTCCCCCCCCCAAAAAACATCGTCCGGGGGCTGGGATGTTAGCCCACTTCTCAGCTCATGTGTCTTTGTGTGTGTTTTCAGTGTGCGGGCGGGCCGTGCTTAACAATCGCATTGTAGGGGGTCAGGAAGCTTCCCTGGGTGACTGGCCCTGGCAGGCCAGCCTGCAGTTTGATACGGGGAAATACTTCTGCGGGGCGTCGCTCATCAACAGCGAGTGGCTGCTGTCGGCCGCACACTGCTTCATCAGGTAGTTCAAATCTCTCTTTTGCAATTTCTGGTCTCTTGACAAAGGATGCCCTCATAATGCTGATTCCAATGAATGCTGACAAAACTACCCCAAAATCCCATTGGATGGTGAAGAGCGAAAGCGCTGAGGCACAATAATCACACATCTTGCCCTATGGTCATCAGTATAATTTAGAAAGACAAAAGTTCAAATGCTAAGAGTTGATATGGTAATATGTAGCAAGACAGCAATGTGAATAGAGAATGCGCTTGGGCAACGTGAACATTTTACATTCTGCCCGTTGTTAGGCTAAGATTTTCAAACTGAATCACTCCAATGCTAACACGCTAAAGGTGTGATAAAACATATCAGGATGGCAATGTGAGAATGCATCCCATGTTGTGTTGTGTTATTTTTGTTATTTTGACTTCAAAATGGCGCCGCGAGAGTGGCTGCCTTTCCAGCAGCTCCTATATTTTGTTGTTCTACTTCTTCCTTTCATAACTTTGCTGCTGTGAATTGGGAATTTCTCCATTGCGAGACTAATAAAGGTTTTCTTATCTTATCTTATCTTATAATACTGTCATGGTGTTTCGTTTCAGCTAAGCCAGTGGTTCTCTCAAACTTTGCCCTCCAAGTACCATATATATATGTGTGTGTGTGTGTGTGTGTGTGTGTGTGTGTACAGAAACATACCTATCACGGCGGTTTTGGGTCTTCAGAGCTTGGAGGGTTCCAATCCGAACAATGTAAGCCGCAGCATTGTCGAGGTCATCTATCACCCCAACTACAACCCAATCAGCTACGACAATGATGTGGCGCTGGTGAAGCTGTCCTCGCCTGTACCCTTCAATGACTTCATTGGGCCCGTCTGCCTGGCCGCCAACGGAAGCACCTTCCTCACCGGAATCGAGAGCTGGGTCACCGGCTGGGGGAAAATAGGCGAAGGAGGTCAGTCCACTAGTGCCGTGCAATCATGGAAAAAAATCATAAGCACCCTTATCGAATTCAAAATGTAGTATATATTGACCTAATGAAAAAACAATATAGATTTAAACCAGAGGTCGGCAACCCAAAATGTTGAAAGAGCCATATTGGACCAAAAAAACGAAAAACCATTAAGTCTGGAGCCGCAAAACAATAAAAGCCTTATGATAAAAGCGACACCTGCCGTATGTATCTATATTAGCTACATTAGTCTACAATCAAATTGACTAAGTTGGCTACAAATACACAATGAGCCTTCGTGATTATATGTTTCCCCCCTGCAGTGCGTTCTGGAGAGCGGGGGTGCCCAACCTTTTCTGACCAAAGATCTACTTTTCGATCAACCCGTTACCGCACACGCGCGCACTTACACACGGACGCCATAATGAGCAACAGCTATAACGGCGGCTAAGATGAACGAGTCATGGGACGCACTTTTGCGTCCCATGACGCGTGTTAACTATCGTAGCTCACATGTACCGTTTAAAAATGCTTCTCTCGGGACTCCAGATTCCCATTCTTCGCCACTATCCTCGGCGAATTGAACACGAAACGTGTTTTTTTTTTTTTTACAACAGCCACCTGGCTAGCATCCCACCTTGCTAATAGAAACGTGTGTCGCAGGCTATGACGCAAATCTTCGTTGACAGAAATGTTGAAATGTAATATTTATTCCACACATTTTACCACATTGGATATTGTTAGGAATGTTTGTGTCGTATTTGTCCTCCTACAGAAATCATATTAAAAAAAATATACATCTTTTTCCATTTTGAAACATTTTTGAAAAAGCTCCAGGGAGCCAGTAGGGTGGCGCTAAAGAGCCGCGAGTTGCCGGTGTTCACAATAAAACCAATACAGTATATTAGCTTTGTTGAAAACTTTAAATTGTACATGAAGTCTTAGGTCCTTGAAAAATCGAACACATTTGTCTTGACTACGAATTGTCTTTGACGTACAATACATTTCACTTATTTAACTTTTTGGAAAACGCTTGTGCAGCGGTCACATGACACAAAAGGAAAGAACTGTGGCATGGAAATGAACACTTATGCCGTGTCTCATGAGGTAATGAAAGGTATGAGGTGAAATGAATTGAATTCCATGACAATTGTCTTGAGAAATGCCTTAATAATAGGCATGAATGTTTGCAATTCTAAAAATTCCAACACAATAGTTCACCACCCTTCATTTAGGCCTTTCACAATTAGGTTTCGGTAGTAGAATGGTGAGCATGTCTGCCTCACCGTCCAGCGATGCGGGGTTTGAATCCGCCCCTGGCCTATCTGTGTGGGGTTTGCATGTTATCCATGGCTCCAGGCTTGTGTGGGTTTTCTCCGAGTACTCCGGTTTACTCCCACATTCCAAAAAGCATGCACGGCAGGTGAATGGAACACTCTAAATTGTCCCTAGGTGTAAATGTGAGTGTGAATGTTTGTTCGTCTAGGTGTGCCCTGGGATTGGCTGGCAACCATGTCAGTCCCTAGAACTGAACCCCACTGAAAAGCTGTGGAGTGGGCTAAAGCAGAGAGGATCCAGGTTGCTGTATGATTTCGAGATAGGGCCCACTTTCTGTATATATATCCCGGTGCAATGTAATTTAAAAAACAACTGAATCTATTTAAAGCTAAAAAAACATTTTAAACAGGGGTGCCAATAATTTGAAAGGCCAGTCTAATCTTGTTTGACTCCATATTGTCTTTTATGTTTTCAAATGGTACTCCTTTTATGCCACGGTGACAGTTGTCGTGGTGGTGGTTGTTATGCTTACAGTTCCTCTACCGAGCCCCAAGAACCTGATGGAAGTCAAAGTTTCCGTGGTGGGGAATCGCCAGTGCGGTTGTGACTTCAAATCGCTGAGAAAAATCACAGACAACATGATTTGTGCGGGTCTGAGGGAGGGAGGAAAGGACGCCTGTCAGGTGACTTGTTGGCATTACGTTTTTGGGTGATAGCGCCATTCATACGGAAGGGAAACATTGGGGATTTTTAATCAGAATCGGCAGACCACACAACCACTTCTTAGGAATCGAATTCCTGGGAACTGGCTTTCAGAAAGAAACGTTTTTGATTCTTGTTGTGATGACCTTTATAAAAGACATCTTGGCACCACAACCCATGAATTTGTCTTTTGACGCAAATTTAAAAAAATTACCCCAGAAACAGAAAATATTTTCTTCGGTTTCGACACAATGCATTAATGGACCTAGATTTGATTGTTGTTGACTACTTTTCAAGATGCACTGTGGTTTTTGCTAACAAGATGACCGCGGTGCTCCACAGGGTGATTCTGGCAGTCCAATGGTGAGCAAGCAAGGTTCCAAATGGATCCAGAGTGGGTTGGTAAGCTTCGGACAAGGTTGCGCCAGGCCAAAGTTACCAGGGGTCTACGCACGGGTGTCGCAGTACCAGGATTGGATCAGCAACTATACTGGCAACGACAACTTGCCAGGGTTCGTCACCTTCACGTCCCCGGGAACTGACCCAGACCTGGAGGTTAGCTGTGACGACGCGATACCGACCACTTCTGGGACGCCCATCAGTGCCGGCGTGCCCCCACGTGAGCAGCGTCACACACTACAATGTTTACACAATATAAGTATTAAGTTTGTGGAAAAGTGAAAATTGTCTCGGGGGGGCAGAATCGTACGTTGGCTTAAACCTAAATTCTCAATTGCCGTGTGCTAAATGACTTTGACTTCGTTGGAAACTGTGAATTAGAAAAACACAATTACTTATGCTGGGAGACTGTAAATGAACTCCAATACATTTCAGTAAATTTCAAGTGTTCAAAAACTAGTGCTTAAAAACTGTCAATATTCTTCCCGTGTTTTATGCAGCGGTGGTGTGCGGGTTCGCCCCACTGAATGAGCGCCAATCGGGTTCCGGGTCGGCGTCTGCCGCGGCGGGCGACTGGCCCTGGCTGGCCCGTCTGTATTGGAACGAAACTTACGCATGTAGCGGCACGTTGGTGGCGCAGGACACCGTGCTTACCAGTGCAGAGTGCATCGCACGGTAAGGCGACAAATCAGCATATTGACAAAGGTTCCAATGAGACAAAGGAAACATCTGAAACAGGCTGGACAGAGATTCTATGAGACCCGACTGATGCACCCTTGTGCTAAGTTGACCGGTTGCTCTCTGCCAGTGGTGTCTTCATGCTTCCATGAATAGGTGTGGACTTCCTCAAATTGTGTGTAGAAGCAGTCCAGAAAGCTTCCTGCGCCTACATCTGAGTCTTGCTGTTTTGCATGTTTATCCGTTCACGTGGGCTCACCACCTGTGGGAGGGGCTAAAGCGACCTGGGAGGTGGCAGAAGGCAGTCTGCTCTCCAGCTACAAGAGTTGGCTCGAGAGTTGGTGTGCAATGTCCAGAGTTTATGATATATAGATAGTTGGGGCTGCATGTCTTGGACACTTGGGTAAGGATGTGTGGTTTGATGGGTCTGATGGTGTAGGAGGATAACGGTCCAACCTGGCAGACTCAAGTGTAATGTGAAGGCCTCCTGGGAATTTCTGGCCGAGTCCTCTGTCAGAAGGCGTTTCAACTCCCACCTCTGACAACTCCGAGACAGTCTTGTCGTATGCTTGAGATGGGTTTGTGCTTTGCAGGTCCAGCACAGTGTCTAAGTGGACTGTCTTCCTGAGTCCCGTGAATCAGAGTGACTCCAACAGTTCTGAGACGGCGGTGGGAGTGATCGCTATTAGAACCAGCGGACGGTCAGATCCGAATGTGGCGGTCTTGCAACTGGAATACTGGCCGCAGCTGTCAAACTTCATCTGGCCAATCTGCATTGACAATGGCCAGATCTTCACCACTGGCTTCATCTGCTGGGCTGTCGGATGGAGTGCGAGCCAAGGAGGAGGCATGTGCACGACTTGAAATTATCTTTGAATCGGTTCGATTCCAAGTATGCGTCATGTCGTCACCCCCTTGCATTTTTTTTTCAGTCATTCTTTTTCCTGTTTCAAACTTTAGTGGCGCAGTCCTTGAATGAGGTCCCGACATCACTGCAGGACTGTGGGAATGTGTCGTCCACTGAGAACATTTGTATCAATCATTTGCCACTGGACCAGGTGACCTTTACTGCTTCTGCCACTTTCACATTGCACATCTATACTGGCTTTTCAACACTTCTGACTCATTTTGTAACGTACAATATTTTTATGGTAAGACTGTGACTTCCTATCTTGTGACTTGCATCCATGCAGAGAAACTTTAGCGGGCCATTGATGTGCCAGCTCGGGGGCTTTTGGTATCAGGTGGCGGTGCTGAAGACCACCAACCATACAGTACAAAACGATCAACTGACTGTCTTGCCCAGACTCAGTGGCTTCAGCAACTTCCTGATGACGGAGGTGGGGGAGGTGTTGTCCCCCACCAACTCCAGCTCAGCGACGCCGCCCCTCCTCAGCCAGCTCCTGGTGTTCGGCACGGGCTTGCAAGTTGTCCTACTGATGATGTGCCACTGAATGAAACGGCAATTGATCCCTGCCAAGTGTCCCAACCGCAATGTGAATTCCGGTTTAACTACTTAGATGATTTATGCGAATACCAAGCAAGCTTATAAATTCCTTTTTCTCTCAGCATTAATTTATATATTAATTTAAACTTGCACAGAAATAATGTCGGGGTGGGGGGATTGTCTTTCACAGAAAATGTGAAAATAAGTGCTTCACCTTGATTATTATTTTTTAAAGATTTTGTGAAAACATTTATTTTGTTTTGTGTTTTATGCTGTTTTGTTGTTGTTTTATGTTGAGAGGGAAGAAATTTATATTTACAATAGATTTGACAATAAAGTTGTGTTCAATTCAATTATTTATGTGCGGCCCAGTGGTTGACAGTTAAGCATGTTGGCTTCACAGTGCAGAGGTGCAGGGTTTGATTCCGGTTCTGGTCTCCCCTGTGCCTGCGTGGGTTTTCTCCCACATTGCCCAACCCAAAACACTTCTTTTTGTTTTAACTTCTCAGCTAGCATCGAGTCACACAACCAAATACACATCAAGAATTATTTATATGTTAGGTGATACTGCTAATCTTTGTCTACAGTGGGCCCATCAAACTCTTTGAAAGTCTTTTGTGTTTAAGGTCTGTACGAATAAACTTCACTAGAATATAGTCAAAGAAAAAAAAGTCACATTTATTAACATTGTACGGTTGAATGTCAAGTGTAAAAAAATAAAAACTTTGATATGAGTCAAAGTGTTCAAAGGATCAAAGATAACAAACTCAATGGCACCCTCGTGAGGACCCCAGCGGGACATCCTGAGTTTAGCAAATCCAGACGAAGATGGCGCGTTGGCGTGCTTTTGCTCGTCAGTCCATTTCAGCTAAAACGTCCTTTGCACTGTTGAGTTGGAAACATTCCTCGAACAACAGTATTGAGTCCCATTGTGTTGAATGATGTTCTGGAAAACGTCCGGCGTGTTTGGAGTGTGGTGCGCGACTACTTGATGCGGATCTCGAAGCACAGACAGTTGCACGACTCGCACTCCGGGGGCTGACACGTGCAAGCGCAGTCCCACCTGGAACACTGCAAACACTGCAAACACAATCGTCAAGCACCATCCTCAGTCACCTTTGCATGTGTGGAACACACTTAAGTTGAAATTTTTTCTGGAAAACAAATCAAAATGTTATCAGAACAAATTCATATCTGAATTGTTTGTTTTCCCATATTCGGCTATACTGTAATGCTCATCTATTATTTGCAGATTTTTGCTCTTTGATTCACAAAAAGCGAGGTCCACTCCAGGCTCCATTACAGTAATAAGTTTAACACTTGGAGAAAGTCACGTTATCAAGTGTTTCAAAAAAAACAACTTTATTTTTGGAACGTCATGATCCACCTTTTGTTCTGCAAAATAATAAATAAATAAGTACCTTCCTCATTATTTTGCAGGCCCCAACGTTAACCCTTTCAGAGACCGTGGTCACTACATGAAAGGGTTAATATTTTGGGACACTTGCGTGCACAAAGCATCATGAATGCCACCCGAAGATAATTTGTCGATTGGGGGGGCAGTTAGGGGGTTAACAGATGGAACTTTTTCCACATCCCCATTCCACATGCCCGCAAATCCATCCTCCGGCCACCGCACGCCCCCTGCAGATGTGAACAACATTTTGCGCGGACTCTCACCGGGGGCGGCGATGCGATGTCCCTCAGACACGAGCGCAGCGTAGGCGGCTGACAGTCGCACGACTGCGCCAGACGGAAGCAGCTATCCCACACGGAGAAGCTGGGACAGCATGAGCCGCACGTCAGCGGACAGCGCTCCTACAACACAAAGCCGCAAGGTGTTGCTCGATTTACTAGCTGCTTAGTTTGTTTTGTTTGTTTGTGGGCAACCCTCCCCCACACACACACCTTTAGGCAAAATCGTATCCAGAGGATGAGGGCCAGCAGCAACATGTAGAGCGTGACGCCGGCCATGATGATGGCAGGCAGGGGGACGGCCAAACCCAAAACAGGAACAACCTGAGCGGGAAGACCAAAAGATGTTCAGAGAGGCGTCATGCTGACTTACCATGGGCGCTATTAGTCTCACTTGATGAGACGTCATATTTTTGCTTTCTTTTTCTTTTTTTCACAACGAGGATCCGTTTAGCACAAACATACATTATGATTTAGTTACTCATTTGGCCGGTAACTGTTCAACCGTTTTTTTGATTAATGTGAAAATGGATTAGTTGTTAATTAATCAATTCATTGTTGCACCTCTAGTTTCATTTTTGCTTTCCAGTTCTTACAAAGCACTTTGTAAACAGCTGTTTGAGAGGGACCGCTGGAATAAACTTATGATTGTGATTTTTTTTTCCTTACGTTCATTCTCTGCATGAAGGTCACATGTCCAGGTTCCCTGCAGTCACAAAACAAAACATCGTCATCATCATACGTCCTCCATTTCTGATTCCTCTGCTTACGTTTATAGTTGCACGTGATTGCTTGTGTGTCCTCTGATGTGAAATTAATTTTGGAGGGAAGTCTCCAGAGGTTTCTGGGTTGTCATGGTTACCACTCTGAGCTACTGTCACTCGGCTACTTCAGCTTAGAAGAAAATAAGTTCACAGAAGTAGACAACTGCCACAAAAGACGATTTAAACAAACACAAACACATCATCATATGTTTTTTGCTCTAAGTGGATAAGTGGTTAACACATCTCCTGCACACCTGAGGATGGACACTCCAATCTGGGCATGGGCCTTTCTGTGAGGAATTGGCATGTCCCTCTGCTGGGGTGATTTTTTTTTTTTAAACATTTTTGTTTCATTTAAGACAAACAAAGTGTCCACAAGTACAAATGCTTGTTTGTCTAGAATCTAGACTCTAGATCATAGGTGTCAGATCCCTGTCACTACAAACAAAGTGTCCACAAGTACAAATGCTTGTTTGTCTAGATCACAGGTGTCAGACCCCTGTCACCCCTGTATCCTGACAGTGACTGGCAACTGCTCCATTATTTCCATCAAGTAATAGCTTTTAATTCTTGTGCTTTTCACGAGAACAGACGGTTAATTAAAAATACAAACTGTGTAGCAAGTCAATAACTTTCAGACCAATTACGTGAAATTGTATTGATCATTAATAAATCGTGGATAGGGAGTGGCTCCCAATCCCAACGCCCCACGTGCTTACCTGCTGTCAAAACCTTATCGAATAGTTGACGTTGAAGTTGAAGAGCAAACAGCTTCTTGTGGGCTGACGTCACTCTCTTTTTCTCTTCGCCCTTGTGGCAAAGTCGTTGTCAAAACACAACATAATTCGCTTGGCCGCTATGACGTCAAACTACAACAAAATGGAGCGCAATACGTTAACATTCGTACGTCGGTCGAGGGAAAACTCCAATTGATTCACTGAATCGTCTGTTTTTTTTAAGCTAGCAGCAGGCGAAACTGAGCCTCTTCGCCATTTTACTTAACAGATCCGCCTCTAGCTTCCTAAGAAAAGAAAACGTCTGAAGGTAGAATGGAATGTTTGGCGCGCTGGACTACAAAAAGGATAAATAGAAGAGTGTCGCCGTCGTGTGCTTTGCCTTTACGCAGCCAACAACTATGGCGGCAATGGCGTTGCCTTGGAGACCGACGGCTCGCGAGAAGGCTCAAAAGCTGCGAAAGTCAAAAATCGACATCAGGATGTACAGGACAATGTACGGTACTTGACTTGCTTGGCAAGGAGAGTCTAATAGGGGAGCTTCTTAAAATTAATTAATGCATAGGTTACAAGGAGTTTCAATTGCGTGATAAATTTCAAGGATGCTTTAGTGAGTCACAAGCAGTTCTAAACCAGGTCATCTGCAGAGCACATAAGCCTGAAGGAAAAAAAAAGTAAATGTTTTCCATTTAACTGCAACTATGGCCGTGTCCAAATTCAGATCGGGTCCTCCAAAGGCCGCATGACACCACTTTCCGTGACAGTCGACCAGACATGGTGTCCAATTTCACATTAAGACCAAGTTCTCCAGGATTCATGCAGTCCAAGGAGGCTCATGACAAGTGTTTTAAGGCAAATCCAGCCTGCAAACTGTCTTTCAAGAATTAGGAAACCACATCGAGTCACGCCAGAAGTGACATCATGCTGCCCAAAAAATGGGATGTAACCTGTGAATCTGGACACAGCCATCAATGCCAGCCTCGAACTGGAACCTTCCTGTTCAATCACCACTCAACAAGCATATGGAGACGCATCATTTTATTGAAACACATTAAAGTACAAAAAAAAGTTACATGAACAGTGCCTCTTTGTCATGGCACAGAGATCTAAAAAGGAAAAAAAAAAGGAAATAACCCAGGGAAGGAGGAAGCACATGTAGACGTCATCACCATTCATCGCGGATGTTGTGTGGAGTCTCGGCGAGTCTACGCCGCGACACGACTGCCCCCAGGTGACCAAGGGAAGCAGTGGTGGTACATAGTCCCATGTTAGAACAGCCTGTTGTTCACCCTAGCTAGCTAGGAGCTGTGGGGGAGGATGAGTGACAGCAGCACATGAGGGGAAGGGTGGGGGTGAGGGAAATGATGGTCTTCCAGGTGAGGGGGCCGCCGATAGTGTCTAGAAGCCGTGGACTTTGAGCTGCTCCTCCTTGGCCAGGTCAATCTACAACCGAGACAAGACAGTGAGTGAGCTGTGAAACGTCAACACTTTGATCCTGGAGGAGGAAGACGACAACTCACCTCAATGAGAAACTGGCAGATGTGCTTGCGCTGATCCCCCTGAAGTTGGATCACTTCACCATACTCCGGGTGCTCGATTACGGTCCCATTGCAAGCAAACTTCTGTTGGGTCAAGTGGCAAACAATCGGATACAATGTAAGTTGACATATCATACATGCACTAAACCCTGATATATTAGCTAAAAAATAAAAAAACTATTGTACGAATGGAGCAATATACTGTGGGGGGAAAAATGTCAAGGTATCCTAGACCAAAGTGGTTTTAGATACATTTTTTTTCAATCTCAAGAGATTGTTTAACACCATTGATCACAAAGTATTTGTGTGTGGATTAACACACTTGAATTTCTCCACTCATGTCACCCAATTGTTTAAATCGTGCCCATCAATCAAGAAACTACATCTAACAATCAATTGTATTGAGACTCCGCACTTAGACTGCCCTATCAGTGTGCGCCAAGGGTCTGTTCTAGGGCCGCTGCTCTTTCTTTTATTATCTCTCGCCAGCGATGGGTTTTCGCCCCAAAATACTTTAGAATGGAATTGTATAGTGGTATTTTGTACTCTCATTTTCAGCCATTGTGGAAGGACCAAGTCCCTAGCCACAGCAAATTGCAGGGGTTGAGTGATATAAAGAGCTCTACCACTAATGGGAGATGGGATTCTCTAGTATTAAGTGAAAGAACCACTGAATTAAACTTTCAAAAGCAAAAAATGTAACATGAGCTTTTTCTCGCAAGCAATTTAGTCATATTTAACTTTGGATGAAATTTTAATTTCAATAAGTATGTGTTCTAAACACTGAAGATAAAATTTTAATCTAAACTACATTGAGTATTAAACGCCACCTTGTGTTGGAGTGTTTAAACTACATTGGGTTACAGTGGTTTACAAGAATATATTAGAATTTTATCTTTGCAGTGTATGAGATTGGGTTTACACCCCCAAAAATATTGATAAATTACATTAAATTATACTAAAAGTTCAGAGCAGTTGATCAGCCACCCATCCTGGTGGGCCAATTTCCATTGAAGGGTATGGGAGGGGCATATGGGACAGACTAACCTAACCCCATTCAAGTCTTTCTCATGTTCGAGGCTTCAATCCTTTTTTTAACCAGTCAAGTACATTCCAGTTGTATATAACTTGGAAGTACATTTGGATTTTTTTTTTAAATCTTAACCGCCTGATTCAACATTTATTTTGCTTCAATCTGAATCTAATTTAAATTTTCTTCCAATACCAAAGTGATATAGTTAAACCTGCTCATGTTACCATAAATATATTTTGCAGGAATAAAACTTCTGCCTTGTTTCAAATTAATAGTGTGTAAAAGGTGACACAACCATGGTGCCATTCAAATTTTATGCCCGTCGAGTTAGACGCAATATGCATTTCATTGTCGTTCCTTTGTATTAGAGACCAATTGACAAAGTTGAATCTAATCCAAAGCAGCAAATGTGTGCCAAATTACACACAAACTCGGACCTTCTTGAAGGCCTTGACTAGCTTCTTCTTGTCATACTCGGCGGCTATGCCCTGGACAGTCGTGAGGGTCTTCCTGCCGTTCCGCTGTTGGATTCTTATGTGGATGTAGTCTTCTTTCCCAGTTGGGAGGCAGTCATCACCCTTAGTTGCATCAGCAAAGGGGTCTGGTGGAATAAACAAAAAATAGTACTCTCACACCCTGTGTAACTGGACTGGCACGTGAAATGTAATAAAGGTCAAATTGCGCAACGTCTGCGCATGCTCCACCCCACCCGCCCAATAAACTAAAATATTAAATTTCACGCTTTCACTTTGGAGGAGCTACCAAAATAACAGGCCACGTATGACATTCGCGGCGTGATTTTCAGCATTAAGTGAAGACAAAGCGAGGGGAAAAAAACGGACAATGCCAAAGTTCATTGAGGAAAATGAGTAAACGTCATAATTTACGATGGAGTATTTCCTATCCTCCTGGGAACTTTTCTGGCATTCTAAATTAGCGCTTTAGAAATGTAAAATTGTATATAAAATGCAAACCATGTTTCAAAAAGTTTACGTTTGAAAAAGGGACAAAGAAAACGTCAAGAATAAGAAGCTACCAGGCTGATAGCTTCCTGGAGGCCAAATGGCGGCCGCGTTGACCATTAGCTCAAGACAGCTAATCTGCTAAACGCGGTTCAATTCTATCACATCACTCAGTCTGGGCCAGTAATAAATTGAAGCATTCTCTAAATCATCTTAAACCTAATAGTGCACAATAAAAAAGGTAATCATCGTTACTTTTAACATTGGCAGTGAGAAAAAAAAACATCTCTCGCCCTTCCCCCACCCTGACGCTCCCAAATACTCACCATAAGTTTGGAGGTTCTGGATAGCGGACATACGATAAGATTTGCTTTCCTTTCGGATAGTAACTTCGCTCGCGAGCGTTACTTCGTCGGCTGAGTGGTTTCGGGTTGTGCTAGTAGCGTTCGGGCCTAAAGAAAGGACGACGGGCCGGGCTAACCTTAGCTTTTTTTTTTTTTTCCTTCTTGTACTGCCACACAGGCTGTCTCAAAATGGAGCCTGGAGATGTCGAACGGCGAGAAAAACAAGCCTTTATAGACCCGCCCATAAACGTCACCACTCCTGTGACGTAGTTGGAAATCTGACGAATCAGAGTAGCGACTCCTATCGGATGTCGCTTCAGGCACAGACTGACGTTACACTCAAATTACGTGACTTTTGATTACTTTAGTTCATGGCAGCTCGGTTGCCGAAACACAAATAGTAAAACAACCATTTCAAGACGGAAACTCAGATGGGAACTGACCATGGCTGGCAGTGATGGGGACGTTCCCGTCCTAATCCACCCCAGTAGGACGTTTCAAAGCCACGTCACACATACTATTATCCATGTTTTAATTTCAACAATTTTGCAAATAGTACATCTATAAAAGCAATTCTTACACACTACCATTAACTTTTTTTTTTTTTTTTTTGCTTACCAGACAGTGGCGAGCGGTTTCCCAGGGTTACTATCCACTCAGCAGTTCCACTCGCCATAATTTTGTGGTTGGATGATTAATACAATAAAAGCTAAACGTAAGAAGTAAATCTACAACAATTTTTCAATGCAAATGACCCCCGTGGACACTCAAATTAAGACTTCATGAATGCCACAGGCCATTACGCAGTATTCAGCTCTGATAAGGTTGTGTAAACTTTTCCTCTTCAACAAGTATTTTTTCCCCTTTCAGCCTCAGTAACGTAAAACATTGACACTTTAGTCCAGATTTGTATGAGTATGGTACTTCCAACCTTTGGGCCTTTTTCTCTCAACCTCAGCACCTGTAGGTACCCAGCTTTCTCACAAACTTGAGTGTGCAGTTTTGTTGGTAAAGACTGTTGGGGGAAGAGCGGCCTCCTCTTCCCCGCGTGTTCGTTGAATTTCGGACGAGGAGAATGTTGGTTCGTTGAATTTCGGACGAGGAGAATGTTGGTTCGTTGAATTTCGGACGAGGAGAATGTTGGTTCGTTGAATTTCGGACGAGGAGAATGTTGGTTCGTTGAATTTCGGACGAGGAGAATGTTGGTTCTTCAAATAAAGGCTGGAATCGATGAACAGTTTCTTCAAAGCTTTTAATGACAGAATATTCCGGGCACCCGCGAATTACAGACAATGGCTGCGATGGTCAACAGGGGGG